CCCCAAAACCCCAAAACCCCAAAACCCCAAAACCCCAATAAAAGTAAACTATATTGAAATGTACAAATAATGAATTAAGCAAGTTAAATGTTAGAGTTTGATAATAATAATATAGTCACCAAGCTAATTCAGCATATCATTTCAATGAACACCACACTGCCAACATCAAAGATCAGCAAAGAGCTTTTAACGACTCTGCCACTGACTTCGGTTATCCTACCCTACTTCGGGTACGCAGATGAGTGCCAGATACTAATGACTCAGCTAAGAAGAGCTTCGAGAAAACTTTGGGATAAGAGCAACCACATATTGTTAAGGAACTACCCTGGAGAAGATGGAGAAGAAACACTCATACTGCAAAAGAAGCTTCTAAGGATCAGTGCAGTACATAAGGGCAACTTTCTGAAAGAAAGGGATACCTTAAGGTTTGAAAGCTTTATGGAGAGTGATTTATCAACACTTTATAAACTTCAGATCTATATATGCTGCCCCCAAAAATCAATAATAAGAGAGTTTTTTAAAGTGTTCAGAGAAGTTGACACAATAAGCTGGACAATCGAAAAATTCGAAATTCAGCTTTCTTGCTATGACTCTTGAACGACTAATCGAAGATATATGTTCTCTTCATTGCAGTGATTGGCCAAATTCATAAATACACAATTTGAAGTATGTGAATTTAAAGACAGAAAATATTTGGTACTTCCAAAAATATTTTATTTGTGAATAGAAAATGGGTGTTTAAACTCCTATGAAGCTACAAAATTCAGAAATGCGGGTACCAACTCAGCTTTTGGAGGAGAATATAGTAATCTATACAAACAATTAGTACATGAAGGAGTTGAGACAACAAAATTTCTATGTCATCTTGAGACTAACACAATTGGCCAAATATGAGAGAGAGTTGATACCTCTGTTTTCAAACTCAAGCTATTCCAAGAGAATTATATAAGAAACATAGATGCTCTCAAAGAGATTTCAGATAAACTGAAGAGTTGGCACAGAGAGCATCAAGAGCAAAGACGAAGATTGAAAACGATTTACTTGAAGCTTAGTCAATCCAGATATTGTTGAATTATAGATGATAAAAACTGTTTGTTGGAGGGACTAATAGCTTTGTCCCTGAGCTGAAAAGAAAGTGGCCTAAATTTAAGTATAAGCAAAGGTACATTGAAAGACAGCAATAGCACTTCTGCCTCATTGTGCTATCTAGTAATTGGAAATCAAGCTTTGGTTATTAAGAAGTTTAAATGATATCTCTATGGTGAACTATTAGTAAGCAGAGACTTCATAGCATCTGACCAATGAAACATTGATTTCAATGGGTTAGTCACGGATGTTATACCTCTTCATGATACTGGGTTTGAGAACTTATTAAAAATGGACAGAAAAATAATTATCCCTGTTGATAAGATTTTACAAACGAAATTTGAACTTGAACAACTCTGGCTGAACAAAATTAAATCTTTTTCTTGGAAAATAAGAACATTATCTTCCAAAATTTACATAAAGGATCAATTAGACAAAAATAAAATATGAGAGATTAAAGCTTTACATAAAGATATTAAAATCGATGTTGATTTCAAAGGTTACCGACAAATTCTTCAAAAGAAAGAGAAAGAAAGATTAAACCAGTGGATAACGATGCTAAAAACAAAAAAATTAGCATTTATCACAATTCAAAAGATATATTATCCATTATCTGAACTTGAGAATATTATTGGTTTACTCCATAATCAAACAGACCTCGAATCATTAAAATTCAATATCAAACGCTATTGACGCAAAGGATCAATGACTAAATCCATCGAGAAGCTTTTCATGGCTTTAGAAACTCTTCCAAACCTGAAATCTATAGATATCTGTACCAGATATCTATCCGTATCAGATAAAAAGGCCTTTGCATCACTAATCAAGGAGTTCATCAGCAGAAGTATCGGGATAAGTATCAGCATCCAGATCGGTTCTAAGATATACCTAGACAGATATTCAAAACTAGAATGTCTGCTTAACGAGTAATTTCGATAAAACATTCAATAACCTCACTTCTTATCTTTGTGGAAGAACAAACAAAGATTTTACACACGTTTTATAAAGCCTGAGCTTAGCCTGGTATCTAGATTAATTTTGGACCATAACTCTCATGCTGAAAGTTAAAGGTGATGGTGAATTTGGGGATAAGAGAGAGGTGTGATGGTCCGGAAGTATGATTTAAGTGATGCGAAATAGTCAATAGAGAAGCTATAATAATTAAATTTATAATCCTTAATTTACTATTCTATACTATCGAAGTCATATTTAACAACGGTAATTTTCATTTCTGCCTCATCCACAAATATACTGAAACGTGTCCAAATTTCTGTATATTCAAACATCCGCATCTCCCCTCATATCCCTAACCCAATGTTCACATTAACCTATGAAAACACCAAAATCTATAAACACTTAAACTCCTTATTCCTTCGACCTGGGCTAAATTTAGTTTCCACAGTTAAGTTCAGACTCTAGTCTACAGAAGTTTAAATTTCTGAATCCCCACTCAGAGATTATACCAAGAGTTCAGACCTGTGCCGCTATGGTGATGTTTAAGGTGAACATTCAGCCAGTGGTCAGGCTGGGGTTTTGGGGTTTTGGGGTTTTGGGGTTTTGGGG